TTTTACCAAAATTCCATTAAATTATAATGTTGATGTAGTAGATCTCTCAATTTTGGTTTTAAAATAGTAGATCTAAGATGATACGACTAACATTGAAGTTGAAGGATGTAGTGCTGAAAGATGTGAGTTTTGGGTTGTAGTTCTAGTAGTGGTCATAGATGACGTTGAAGTTGTAACAGTAGAAAGGACTGTAAGTGATTGTTGTGTAGTGCTTGGTTAGCATAGCTTGGAGTGGTGAGTATGGTTGAAGTTGGAGGATGTGGTGTTGAACTGATGTCGATTTTGGGTTGAAGATTTGGTGGTGATCAGGATGGATCAAAGAAATTTTACCAAAATTTCACTAAATTATAATATGGATGTAGTAGATCTCTCAATTTTGGTTTTAAAATAGTAGATCTATGATGATACGATTAGCATTTAAGTTGAAGGATGTAGTGCTGAATGATGTGAGTTTTGGGTTTGTAGTTCTAGTAGTGGTCATAGATGACGTTGAAGTTGTAACAGTAGAAAGGACTGTAAGTTGTTGTTGTGTAGTGCTAGGTTAGCATAGCTTGGAGTGGTGAGAAATTTATTTTTGAGGGAGAGTTGTAGGTGATTTTGGTTTGGTATGCTAGATTGATTTTTTTTTTTTAATTTATTATTATTATTATTATTTTGCAATGGTTTAAGGTGTTTTGGCCGCATTTTGGAGAGGAAAAGTTTGAACATTGGGTTAATTACTTTTACATTGTATTTGTATTGTGATTATTTGGAAAAGTTTGAACATTGGGTTAATTACTTTTACATTGTATTTGTATTGTGATTATTTATTCTTATTGAGATAGTTTTATTGCTCGACTAGTGTTTTATAACGAATATCTTTTCTTTTAGGCTAATTTTGATTTGTGCATAATCTATAATGTTTAGCTTTTTACTTTGTGTCATTATGTTTTTATCATGCCAATGAAAAAAACTGTAAATGCAAATTAAACAATTAACTTATTGAATTGTTAGTAACTTTTTCATTTTTTTCCAATTTTGAAGTTGGTCCCACCAAGCTTCATTAAGAAGCTGGGCTTAGAGTTCGGCAAGAGCGCAACTCTGAGGATGTCATCAAGTCACCATTGGAAGGTTGATATAAGTGTGGAGGGGGACAACATCTTTTTTAACAATGGATGGGAGACATTTTATAAGCAAACAGGTCTTTGTATTGGTGATTGTCTCTTTGTTAAGCATGCTGGAGGCATGAATTTTGATGTTATGGTTTATTGTAAAGATGGACACTTGAAGATTTGGAACCCCGACATTACCATTAGTTGATACCAATGGTAACAAAAGGAAAAAACATGCCCCTTGTAGCAAATTTTTCTTTCGCTATTAAACACCATCATGTATCGACTCTAAATATATATTTTACAACCTAAGTTAAAATAGTTAAAGTACTATGTTTTGTTTTTTGGCATTTTAAATTGCAAGAAGTTACATCATCAATGTTGTGTGGGTACAATATCTCTGAATGGTCCTCTAATTCTTCAATTGTAACACTCCACTAAAGAGCCTCTAAAACTCAAGTGGCTAGCTTGATCTTCAAACTTAAGGTGCGTGAGTTTTGTGCTTAAGGTGCGTAAATTTTGTGCTTAAAGTGCGTGAGGGTTGTGCTTAAAGTGCGTGAGGGTTGTGCTTAAGATGGGTGAATTTGTGTTCTGAATGTATTTTGTTTGTGTGTTTAATGTACGTCTGTTGTATACTTAAAGTGCGCCAGTGTAATGCTTAATGTAATGCTTAATGTGAGTACACTCGCACAACCGCACGGGAAGCACCACCCTCACCTGATCCCTTATATATATATATGTATATATATATCCTGATCCCTTCCACACACACACACACACACACACACACACACACACACACACACATGAAATAAATTAGCAAGGTTGAGCCGATCGGGTTAACTCGATCGAAATGGATGAGTTAACTCGGTCGAATTCGGCCGAATTAGGCGCCTAGGCGGCCAGTCACCTAGGCGGGAGCCTAGGGGTGAAATCGCCTCCTAGCGCCTAGGCGGATGCCTAGATCGATCAATGTTGAAAAAATCGCTAGTTGAAAAATGATGATCAATAAATATCTTCACTATCCAAATTAAACGCGATCCAGATCAAATCAAAGATCTGATCTTTACATACACACGCCGTACCTACGCTTCTTGTTGCCTTGGCCGACCTGGTACATGCCCCAAGAGAAGGTGCCTACAGCAGTGAGGAAAATGGCCATGGCGCTGGGACCAGTGTTGGGAATTCGGCGGGCGAACCTGACCGTCGCGAAACCTTCGGGCGGAGGTCCATCTTGTAGAAGCGGCATGTCCTTCACACTGGCCATGCCCGGTTTCTTCCTTATGGAAAACATGCTGATTTTTCGAGTTGGCACGCGGTGCACATTCTTGCCAAACTAGCTTTATTAGGCAGAACTTGACAATTCTTTAAGACACGCTAGAGGACTTCATGATGTGGGTGACCCAACTGTTGATGCCACACCTGTGACGACGCTCGGGCGGACACGAACGCAAAGTGAGTTTGCGGGGACTAACAGCTTGTACAACCCGCCCGAAGTTGACCCTTTAAGTAGAATCGTTTGGGTGTTGCAATCCTTCACAAGAAACGAATTTTTATGAACTCGAAATACACATTGTTTTCGTTAGTAAAATGATAAACGGATAGCAACGGTAAAGTTAAATTTGGGACATGTAGAATATTTGACATTTTTAAACTGGGATGGGATAACCGCATGACCCACACGGGAAACATCCAAACCTGCGCCGTTGCCGACTTTGAGCACGTCTCCGCCGGTGTAAGCCTTGGAGTGGTGCAACATCCGATCATCCGGGGTCGCATGAGACGAGGCGCCCGTGTCCGGGTACCATGCATCGGCTACTTGTGGATCACTGGAAATCGCAACATTGGTGTGACCTGCGTGAGTCTGTGGATGATCAGCATATCTCTTAAGACAATACACGGTCGTATAGCCGTGTGACCTGCAAATTTGGCAGCGGGGTGTGCCGCCGTGCCCTCGGCCATTGTTGCCCCTGCCACGACCTTGTCGCCCCTGCCACGACCTTGTCGTCCACGCGCACCGGAAGACTGCCGCCCGCTCGACCCCGGATCTCTATTGTTTCTGCCGCGACCAGCATAGAACGCTGATGGTGAGCCACTAGTTCTGTAGTCCACTGCGAAATCATCAGAGTGGATAAACTCTTGTGCTTGCAGGTGAGTTGATGGTTTTCCATGATGAGGAAATTGTAGTAATCTAGTAACATATCCAAAACCAGACTTTTTCCATGATGAGGAAATTGTAATTTTTGTCCTTGACGGCTCGGATTCTAATTATTCTTGTTAATAAAGCCTTTTCTCCCTTTGAACTCAATTCAAGAATATAGTTCTCAGGTGGGGTTTACCCTGTGTATTGTGCACTCTTGGGTGGTTGTAGGTTTTCCTCGTCATCCGAAAAAGAATACTGTTCAAAAAATTTCTGAATTGTTTTGTCACTTTGTGTTAAAAGTTCGGCTTGGCTTGTCAATGATATAAAGCAAGAGCCATGCACAGTATACCGAAAGTTTAGAAAAAGATCATTAAGATACTCCATTAAAGATTTTGGATTTAATGGGCTTCATACATTCTAAATAGGATTGTATGTTATAGGATCAAAACAAACAATGGAATAGGATTATTCTTAAGAATGTTATTCCATTTTTGACCTATTTTATAAACTAAATATGCTGTTAGTTCTTTAGTACAGACAATAATTGGCTTCCTTGTTATCAACTAAAACATCAAACAGAACATGAACTAACAAATATAAGCCCATTTCCAACATTCAATAAAATAAGGAACTCATATTAATGATATTAGAAACATAAACTGTGTGAAAAGACAGTTGGGGGGTGTGAAGGTATACATGTCCTAAATTGCCTCTAACATGGTTACTTCTTTTTCATGTATGATACAACAACAGTCGTTCTCTCGTGTGTGTGTGTCCCGATTTCTAAGTGTCTTTGCCTTAAGCATGTCTTGTCTTGGACAAAAGAAGTTCCTTTTCTTCTTGTGATTTACAAAACTTGCTCAAAGAACGTGGCACCAGCAAAAACCAAAAACAAAGCTCCACATAGCACTAGAGCTATAGAGAGAGGATAAGGAATTTGGTTTGGAAGCTTCTCACTGCCATTCATGAAAAAGGCAATATATGTTTCAGGCTGAATATCAAGAAAGTTTTGAATGAAAGTGTATATGACATGATCAGAGAAGGCAAAAAGACCTTTGTTTGGAAGCTTCTCACTGCCATTCATGAAAGGCAAAAAGTGCATATGACATCATCATTGTTTAGCTGAAGTATCTATAGGTGGCTGGCTCACCGAATTCTTCATAATCCCCTGAACCAATGCCAACATTAGATGCATGTGACGTTGTTCTGCACCTTCTTACTACAAATCAGGGTTGATGTGCAAATAATAAAAAATTACCCCAACCCACAAAATCATGTATAATTAAAATGGTAACGACCTTAGAAAATTGAGAAATTAAGAAATAAAAATATCTAAGACTGTACTGAATCAGGCACCCTGGCTTAACAACCAAAGTCTCGCACATTCAAGGAACATTAAAAAATTACCCCAACCCACAAAATCATGTACTTTGCCTGCTTCAATTGAAATTTGTGATCATATTAACTAGAATATGTCCCGTTCTATATTGTTTGACCACTATCATGTATTATTGTAGGACGTACTGTTTTATTACTCGGACAAGGCAAAGGTTATGGATCTGTGAAAGTATAGAGGAATTTTCAAAACTTGTTTGATTATGGGATGAAAATGTGCCTTGTGGAGGTAATGACTCACTTGCAGAGGCTATGAGACTGGCAAGCACTCCTGATCACGGGGAATTAATTATTAATGTCAGTTGATAGGTAAACATCAGATTTCTTTCAAAAAGAGAAAGTAGTTCATAAAACTTGTAAACAAGGTAAACATCAGATTTCAAAAACGGAAAGCAGTTCTTAGGTAAAGCCTCCTAATTGGAGGGGCCTGACATCCTAAGGGCTGCTTCCCAGAGCTGGACAAGGGTGGAGCAAGATTCTTTCAAAGTGTACAATCTGAAATGTTTTCGATAAGCGCGTTCAGGGGAGAGGTGAGAATCAACACATCCTTGTTCAACCCTTTGACTTCAAAGAGTAAGGCCTTTTCAAATTTAACTTCTGGTATTAAATTCCTCGTTCATTTTAGTTAGTTGATCTATGAACGCAGCATCAATGTTCCGAGAAGGTGGCACTGGGTCACTCGCAGAACCATCGGATTGAATCTGTAAAAAAAAAAAACTCTTTTTGATGTCATCGATGGTAGACTGACATTTGACAAAGACTTTCAAAGTGTTTCCTATTTCGCGCTTCAACTCACGTTTGTCCTCTGTTATCTTGAGGATCACGTCATCTTTCACCTTTATGCATTCGACCCAACCGTCCGTTGTCGTCTTGGCAAAATCCATTACTGCAAACATTTAAAAAATTAAAATTAGGAATTCAACAGTAACTAACTTCAATAAATTCATATACAAACAGTAATATGTACGGAGTAACTTTTACTATTCATATTTGCAAATAAAATAATAATTAATAAAAAAAATTAAAAATACAATTAACAACACAAAACAATAATTAATAATTAAAAAACAATAATTAATAATTAATAATAATAATAAAAACTAAAAAACAATAATTAATAATTGATAATAATAAAAAAAAAAACTAAAAAACAATATATTTATTGAAGCTAAGGGGAGGAAGTGCTTTACCTAAATTTATTGAACTAATTGCCGATGTTGATAGAGCTGATGGGGATTCTGATCTATTTATAATAGAAGAAGATTAATCAAGAACCATGAACGCATGCATCCTGAGATGTTTCGGATCATCCACACATTGTTTGCTTGTTACTGTTTAGTGGATGCCCATTTTTCTCTGGGTTTCTATTGCTTTATGTCCATGTATTTTCCCTAGAATTCTGCTCTTTATCTTGACCAGTTTTTCAAACTTTGCCCGTCAAGCTTAATCACTTTTGTATTTTTATTTATTATTATTTTTTTTAGAGAAAATGGTCAAATAGGTCCTCGAACTTTAACTTAAAAGTTAATTAGGTCCTTAAACTTTTTAAAGGTGCAATTACACCCATCAACAATTCATTTATGTACAATGAAGCCCAAAAACAAGTTAATGACCTGCTATAACAGGTCATTAGAGTTCAGGCCACGTTCTGGCGAATTTTCCAACAAAAAAAATGTGACTAGCAACCGACCCAAATTTGTCGAAAATTTCGCCAGTCACTTCTTTTGTCGAAAATTTCTCCGGTCATTTTTTTTTTGGAAGGTGACCTGAACCCTAATGACCCGTCATAGCATGTCATTAATCTGTTTTTGGGCTTCATTGCACTTAAATAAATTATTGATGGGTGTAATTACACCTTTAAAAATTTAGAGACCTAATTGACTTTTAAGCTAAAGTTCGATGACCTATTTGACCCTTTTCTCTTTTTTTTTTTTTATAACATTGGGCCTTAGCTTTTGAAAGAAAAATCGATCCAATCTATGTTGGGCTGGTGCTTTTTGTTTTTAAATATTGGGCCTTGGCTCTTAAAAGAAATATCCATACAATCTATGTTGGGCCAAGCCCACGTAGTGCGTGTAATTAACCGCAAATCTGAAACAAAATTTATTTACTGCCTCAAAATTTCCCTCCAAACTTCAAATCTCCCTCCGAGCCATCACTATAAACCCTATTCTGCAACCAGCTTCCGAGATTCCTTTCCTCTCTGATTACTGATTTCTCATTCATTTCAAAGCTAAAAAATGTCGGATCAAGAAGACTTGGATCTCCTCCTTTCACTCGAAGATAGGGTTTTGGAAACCCCTCCGGCATCTCCCTCATCCCACTCTCCAGGTGTTCTTTCTAGGAATTTTTAATCCTTTAACATTTATCCATATCTTAAAAATTGGTCTGCTGATTTTCCCTGCCGGGGTCCTTTTTGTAGATTACCTATCGGATGATGAGCGACCTAAGCGAGTTGGGCAGACAGACATGTCTGTCTTTCGAGTTGAGCGACCTAAGAAGGCTCTCAAATCTAAACCCAATATTTCCAAGGCATCAAATGATTCGGAGGTGGAAAAGTTTTCGGGTTTACGGATTCGGTAAGTTATTGATATGTGCACATTAGATTCTTTCAAAAACAAAAGTCTTTTTTATTATTATTTTTTTATTGTTAATTGAGGCCTAGTGTTCCACCATGCTTTTTGGCTCAGGAATCAATTAGTCTCACCGCTTGAGCTGAGCAACCGCTTTTCTGATATCTGATTTGTTCGATTACCAGCAATAAAGTAAGTGAAATGTTTGTATAAGTTCATAAAATGCTCTGTTGTTTAATTGCATTGTAGATGATGATCGACTTCATGCCTATGTCTTAGGAATTTGCTATCAGGATATACCCTCTCAGGGCTGTTGGGGTCTTAACTGAGACGGGACAACCGAGGACTAGCTCTACTGGAAAGCCCTATGCAATTTGGAAAATGGGATGCTTGAAAGAAAATACTGTTTCAGTATTTTTGTTTGGCGATGCTTATCAGAGGAATAGCAATGAGAAGGCTGGGGCTGTGTTTGCCCTTTTCAATTGCGGTGTCCGCAATGATAATTCGGTGCCATTATTAAACTTTTTTTTTCATTGTTTTTATTAAGGGATAACTAGTAAAAACTCTAACTTTATGTTTCTTATATAGGAGAATGGGTTTTCGTTGAGTGTATATTCTGCAAGTAACATCTTAAAGATCGGCACTTCTGTCGATTATGGAGTTTGCAAGGGGAAAAGGAAAGATGGAATGGCTTGCACACTAGTCATTAATAAGTATGTTGTCTCTTACGCTGTTCCACATATGTCTAATGTGTCCATTGATGTCATCTTAGAATCTTAGATAGTTAGATAGTAGATATTTCTCAAATATATACTAAATAAATTATGACAAATTGACCAAAATGAACATTTTTATTTTTATAAAATTAAGAAAGTTTAAAATTAGACAACCCTAATAAGAAAAAACACGTTTTGAAAATGTATATGAGTCTTTGACTGGAGTACTGGATCCTAAACGTATTTTTCAATTGAACTTTTTTAATTGAAAAAAATAATATACACATTTGATAAATGCGTTTAATTTATTTTCACCACCTTTTGTGAAAATCATCAAATGCATTTCCCAAATGTATTTGATGTATCCATAGAAATACGTCAAATGCATTTCCTAAATGTGTTTTGTGATTTTTATTAAAACAAAATTAAAAACTCAATTATATTTAATAAATATGTTTGATCAATATTGCCGTTGTGGAGGGTATTTATTTGATTCTTATTAGGGGAGTTTGGTTCCAAAATATGTTTAATATAACATGAGAAATTCAGAATAGGAGGGGAATAAGATTCCTATGAACATGGCAAAAGAAGATCTAAATATTTTTCATATTTCCTTCAACAAACAAATTACAAATGTTACGGTAAGGGTAAACTAATTAAATTGAACAGAAATTTACAAGGGGATGAAAAACTGTTTATAAATTTGGAATTGATCCCTTTAATAACATAAATAAGAAACTAGTACTTAAAAAGTGTCCCGAAAAGAATAACTAAGTGGGTGAAAGATGAATCTTATACTTAAAGGTTCAAGTTTGATTCTTATCAACACTTTTGATCGAGCCTCCATGGAGTCTTTCTAGAGCAATTTTTCTTTCATGCATGATTAGGGCCTAGGGGTATTACACATGAGTGAATTTTATCCCTGCACACCTTTAAATAGTGATTGCGAATTTTCATCCCCTCATTAAAAATAATAATCTCTTATTATAATAAAGCAACAACTTTCTATCTAAACCATTTTTCCGCTCAAATGAAACGACGTCACTTCATATATATAAACTCAAGTCTACAGTAAATGGCGCTCAATAAAGATTAACGCGTGCAATTAAATTATGCCGGCTAATTTTTTGGTAATACCAACTAAAATAAAGCATTTTAAATAGACTTCTATTAGTTACAGACTTCTAAAGAGACTCTTTATATTAAAGACTTCTTCGAAAACATACTTCTCAAATCTCGAATAAATAAATATAAATACACTCATAATAAAGAGACTCAAGTCTGATCACCATGCTCTTGAAAACTGAAAGGTTGTCCGCAGCATTCATACTTCCAAGATAACATCATAGATTTTGAAATGCAGTATTACATTGTATATAAGCATATGACTATGGAGACATCCACTCCCCACTCCACCTTATCTTCAGTTTGTATCACCTGCCAAACAGAAGAAAGAAAACAAACAAATCAGCAAAGAAACCATGTCAATGTACGTAGCTGTAAAGGATATTGGTCCTCTCGATAGGGAGAAAGCCATCAGAGTAAAGTGTGTTATATGTTACGAAATCCCTGAAAAAGGGTCTACAGAGATTAAGAGTCGAGAAGTGTTGTTTTGCGATAAAGAGGTATGATGTTCAGTTTAATATTTTCTTTTACTGTTTAATTTTTAGGCTCTCCACAGATTTATGCTCAACCAAATATAGTGTTTAAACAGAATTTTTATCTACACATTATTGTTTTCTTTTTAATGTTTAACTAAGCTGTACATTATCTATGCTCTACATTTTCTAGGCTTTAAGCAGTTTTTTGCTATACAGATTTTTGTTTTCTTTTCACTGATTAACTATGCTATACATTATCTAGGCTTTAAACAAATTTTGATGCACACATTTTTGTTTTCTGTTCACTGATTAACTATGCTCTATGTTATCTATGCTCTACATTATCTAGGCTTTAAACAGAATTCTGATGTACACATTTTTGTACTCTGTTCACTGTTTAACTGTGTTCCAGGTTATCCTTATGAGCTATATTTTAGTATAGTGTGTAATATTTTATTTTACTGTTTAAAGTCTCTAAACCATTTTCTTGCTCTACCAAATCAAGGCGCTAAACAGATATTAAATCTACACTTTTTGTTTTCTCTTCAATGTTTAAGGTTTAGGGTTTAGGGTTATTTATTTATTTCTAATGTTTTATTTATTTCACTAACATTATTGCAGGGAACTTTCATTCATTTGAACATGCAAAATAACGATGTGAAAAAATATAACAATGTTTTCATAGAAGGGAAGCTGTATTCAGTCAAAAAAATTTTGGTCTTCACCCACTACTATATGTACAAAACTTGTGATCACAAGTATATGATCAGGCCAAACTATAAGACTCAGGTTAAGGCCATAAAATCCAAAGGTTTTCTTACTAAGATGTTTCAACTAAAAAACTATGACTCTTTGAAAGACCCTACTCAAGTGAATGACAAGGTTCTGTTTGGTAAGTATTTTGATCTTACTTTTGCTATTTTTCTTTGAACTATTTTTGTATTTCGTCTACTATTCATTTATTTTGTGATGATACAGATTTAATAGGCAGAGTTGTAGAGATCCATGCTCCAGTTGACAAGATAATAGTGGGTAGACCAGCAAAACTCATAGACTTTAAAATGGCTGATAATGAGTAAGTTTCATATTACAAATCTGTTCCTATATTTCAAGACATTAATTTTTTTCTAACACACTTGCCTATAGGGGAAATACCTTACAGTGCACTGTGTGGGACAGTCATGTTGCTGCCATGCTACCCTACTATGATGTAGGTCTTAAAGAACCATTAATTTTGGTACTACAGCTATGTCGGGCGAAGGTGGTCAATGGTAAGTTATAATGTTAGGTTATTCTTTTACACTATTTCTAGGTTTGCCAGTCTTCATTTACATCTATCATGCTAAATAGGTGAAGTCAGAATCACTAGCTGCTATGATGCTACCCAACTTCATTTCAATGCATCTTACCAGGAATTTGCTGATTTTAGGTCTCAGTAAGTGCCTAAATTTTTATTTATCTACACTCTACATTTTCAAAACTATTGTTTTACACATTTATACAATTGTTTATTAATTTTACCTGTAGGTTAACTGCTCCAAACAGTCCTTTGCGCAGTATAAGTACAGCAACAGTGCTGTCTCAATCAGCAGGCCTAGATGACTTTACCAGGGGTGCTTTGACTGTAACTACAGTATTTAATCTGTTGAAAAAGAAACAGGTTAGTCTCTATATTTATAAAGAGTCATAAATACAGTTTGGATACCTATCTCTTATTATAATAAGATAGATTACATATGAAAGACTAACCAATTAGTTTAAAACAAAAAAAAAAAAAAAATGCAGAATGGGGAGTTCTATGTACCTGCTGAAATTGTTGCAATTGAAGGTTCTTTCGGATGGATGTACATTTCTTGCATGTCACCGGGATCTAACAGAAAACTTTCAGACGAATCAGGTGAACTGATTTGTACCAATTGTGATAAGAAATATAAAGAAGGAATGGCAAGGTATCGGGTCAGAGTTATTGTTCTAGATAAAGGTCTAGATGATGCTCCCTTCCTATTATGGGATAGGGAGTGTTCTGAATTAGTTGGTATCCCAGCACACAGTTTGTACACAAAGTATAATAAGGTAAAATTAAATTTCTTCTAAACTAAACACGTACATACAGAGTCTGAGATGATATTTCTTACTAGAATGTATTTTATTTTTTTTGGTTAGGTTTCTGACATTCCAAAAGAATTGGAAACATTAGTGGGTATGAGAATGGTATTTAGGATATCATTAAAAATGGAGTTCATGAAGGGAGCTAATTCAGCGTACACTGTTATGAAAGTTCTAAGGGATGAAGCCTTAGTGTCAGCATACTGTTCTAAACTGATTGAAGACCAAGACAAGGACATGATATCAAAAATGTTAGATGAGGACGAGGAGGAAGAGGAGGACTCGGATCAGGTTTTGCTTATTTTATAAAGTCAAATAAAGTTGTACAGTTTTAATCTTATGGTTGACAGGTTTTAGACTAAACTTTATTTTAATATGCAGGAAGCTTCAAATGGAGACAATGAGGTCAACAGTCCATTAAATCTACATCAGTCTCAAAGCCTAGACAATGATCATTCAGAGGCAGATGGTGTGAAGCAATCGCTTATGGACCAGTTTTCATCCTCTAGCAAGAAGGGAAAAACTGTGGTGGTTAAACAAGAAAAAATCTGAGCTGTTCTGGGATACTACAAACTATTACCACATTATTGTGGTTTTTTTTTTTTTTTAATATTTTTAAAATGATCATTTGCCATGTTAAATTGGACTGTGTTTGTCCTGAACAATTTCATGTTATTGAGATCTATGATTAGACTATTTACCTTTGTTTTTTACCTATGATTTTTGGTAAACATTCATTACACTATGTTTATTACATATACTGTTAGATGTATGAATCTGAATGCAGGACAAGAAAGAAGCAACCACAGGGAAGCAACCACAAGGAATCAAACACAAGGAATCAATCACAAGGAATCAAGCACAAGGAATCAAGCACAAGAATATGGTAGTTAAGGAAGCAAACACATTCAACTAGTGTAACACACAAGGGTTTTCAATTACTAATCTGTAGCAATCTGCTATTTTGAAAACTGTACTCTATCAATTATTAAGTCTGAATTCTTAATTGGACTCTATCAAATGTAATCAAACTTATTATTTACAATGGTAACAGACTGTTCTGGTACTTTACAACTCACACACTTTAAATGTAGAGCATTAGCAAACTATCATCCAAAAAGTGTACAACTTAGTCTTTGATCAGTATGATACAACAAAAAAAGATATATGCAATGAAAATGGACTCTATCAAATGTAATCAAACTTATTATTTACAATGGTAACAGACTGTTCTGGTACTTTACAACTCACACACTTTAAATGTAGAGCATTAGCAAACTATCATCCAAAAAGTGTACAACTTAGTCTTTGATCAGTATGATACAACAAAAAAAGATATATACAATCAAAATGGTTATTTATACAGACAAACATTGGTAATTAAAATAATGGTTTTTTCTCGACCAAAAAAAAAAAAAAGTTATTTACATTGGAAACATCGTACTCTATTAAAATAATTAACTCACACACTCTAAATATCATCACTGGCAAACTATAATGAAAAGAAACTGCCTACACTTTTAAGTTTAAGCAGTTTGAAATTAAGTTTTAAATAAAAGAAACTGCTCACACTTTTGACTTTATTTATTAAGTTTCTGTATATTTTTGGTGTTTTTATGCATCAAAAAACAAAGAACAAACACAATACACTTATCATTCGTATATCTTTAAATAAACATTATTTAAAGAGTAAAAAAAATAAAAACTCAGCATAAATTCACTTGGTCAGTTTCAAATGAAATTACATTTTAAGAAGTCAAATGTATACCGAACCCAAATCAAGCCTAGAAATGTCAATTAAAAACTCATACACAGGTAAATTTGAAATAGAGGAGTAACACTGCAAGTAACTTCCTCATTACAAAATAAAACTGTTGTTTTCAAATTACAAGATGTATGATCATGTCTATCTGAAACCAAAGTACACAATCTAGGACTAACACTGTTGACATGAGGAAAAGTACATATCACACCTAATGTTAACACTACATAACAGTACATAGGACTCATAACAGTACAATTCAGACTAATTGTGATAAAATGTGAATACAAAATAAACAATTCAAAGTAATGTCTATTTGTGTTTTTTTTTAACATAACTATTACATTGGTCAAATTTCTAAAGAAGAAAAGTGTATAAATAACTCAATTAAATCCTAAACCACCAATCAAAACAACCTTTAAACAGTATATTCTTTCTATTCAGTTTTATTCTATTCAAAATATACTAAATAGAATATATTTAGGATAAATGAGTAAAAACATTTGGTAAACTGCAATCCATTGAAGTAAATATAATTTAAAACTGTTACACATTGAAATTTTACAATGAGTAGTAAAACTGCTCTTTTTAGCATTACAAAGTCAGACTGCTTTGGAACTGGATCAGCACAGTACATATGAGAAAAACTTTGACATTTTAGGCCTAACAACTTGGACATCACAGTACATATCAGATAACCTTTGGAAGATAAATTGGATGTACTAAATATTAAAAACGCAAAAACTATTTATATGAATAATAATTAAGGCTTATCAACCAAAAAGGGAAATAGACATGTAAAATGGTTTCTCTGCAATCCACTAAGTTGCTGTTTACAGTTAGGGCATCAGAACTGTAACTTCATCATTTGCCAAAGCTTAGAAAAAATGTTAGTCACAACTAAAATGATGAAGTTATTAGGATAACCTGGAACATTGAAAAGACCAAAAAAAAGTGTAAACACAAAATCTGTTTACAGACTAGACAATAATTTATAGCATAGATAATGTACAGCATACTTAACCAGTCATCAGAAAACAAAACTCTGTACATCATAAACTAAATAATTAAAAGAAAGTGGGAACATGTGTATTCAATATCATAAAAACTAATTGGCTTTGTTGTTTTCCAATAAAAAATGAAGAGTCATATCATTGCTTTTCATCATTACTATTACACTGCACTCTTAAATGCTAAAAACCCAATAAAAGCTTAACCTATTTGAATACAACTATTTCTAATACAAATAAAATCACAACAAAACACAGGAACATAAACAATAACAGCTCAGATATGAGGAAAATAGTTGCTTCTACAATAATAGGAAGCAAAAGGAAGCAAACATTCGACAATCAAGGTACCATAAACACTGCTTGAAACTGAAAATTTATACTTTACCTAAGAATTTTTGGTTCATTGCACAAATTTACACCTATTGAACTCTGTTGATGCCTGCTTACCTTCCCACCTTTGAATGTGTACATATAGATCTAACAACTACACCTCTGCAATTAAATTAGGTATCATTTGGTTAGTGTATAATATCCTAGGAATACTAAGAAGCCAATAATGTCTGATGTTAGGTATATAGAGAATAATACAAAAACAAATTAAAGATCTAGAATATGTTAAATATTCTAAGATAAGAATTTAGACAAACAAATTTGTACTCTTAAACTTATCTTGCATTTCAGTCCTTTAATCTGCATCTAAGTCATGAACACCGTACGGACCCATTTTCTTATCTGCTTGATCTAGAATTAGGAAACAAAAAAAAATATTAAATTTGATCTACAATTAGACGGTAAGACTTAATCTATAAGCAAATACAAACTACGATAGGGTATAAGACTTGCTTACCTTACATCTGATGTAGTCGAATAGGATAGTAATTGAAGATTGAGATACGAAGCTTGACGTTAGAACCTTAAAAATGCCGATCCGATTCTAAAAACCAAGATCGGAGATTAATAGTTCAGATCCTCGAACAACAACTAAACCGATCTCAGTGTGGTTTTCACAAATGAACCCTAATCGGATCTTACTGCAATCGGTTTAGGGGTTGAGATCTTCTACGAATTAAAGAAGATCTCAACACTGTAATGGCAGATGACGAGTTCTACTGTCGGAGATGGGGTTTTTTGTCTGAACAGATAGAGAGATAAGGTTATGTAGATGTGAGAAGATGCTAGCTGTACGAGAGTGTGGAAGAGAATGGATCAAGAAATGGCAGATCCATCTAGAAGACCCCTAAATGCAAATGACAGTATTCTAACATTATATTTGGTATAATTAGTAGGTAAATTTTGCTTTGTTTTTTTAATTATAGAATTATTGGTCAAATCTAGGTTGTGGATAATGGTCCACAATATTGTGTGAACAATTGGTCCATCATCTACATTTTTAATATACTCAAAGTATATTTAAATGTAATTTATTTTTTTTTTTGAATGTTAAATGTAATTTATTTCAATCACTTAAGTTATAATTTTTTAGACTTATGGTACATTATATACAATTATGTACACTAGGTAGAATAAAAAGTCACTTTCACAATATATAACTTACGTAGCTCAATTTTCAGAAATTAGTATATTACAAATGTATTTTATTTAGAATTATTTTGATAATCATATCGTTATGTTTAAAAGTAAAGGTACTTATCTATGAATATTTGCACCTTTTAATTGCAGAAAATGTTGAAAATTCTCCGGTTACAAGTACTCATAACGCTATTTTGAAAAAAAAATAGCTCAAAGTTACATACGGAATGCACACCACTACAAGTGGGTACTTCAAGTGATACACCAAAAAGTGGTCTAACAACAGGTAAACGCTCATGTCTTTTCAAATGTAATACCGTTTGGCATTTACTTAGGTCTAATACACTGTTTAGAATTTATTATTATTATTTTTTTAACATTATTGGAAACCTGCAGTGAATCCAGAGAGTATAAATATAAATATGAGTACATGCCTCATGGAATATACGACAAGCAAAAGTAACTCCAGACATTTTGTATTAGGCGGCAGAACTCCCTATTCATCCTGTACAACAAGCTCTACACATCCCGGTTAGTTATATTAAGGCATATACTTAATATTATTTATTTCATATCAGAACTCGGATATCATCAATGACAGACACAAAAAATTTTCATTTGTTGCAGAGGGTACAATAACTATGTCGAACAGCACACGATCACCTCTACAAAATATATCAAACCGTAAGTTCTAAAGTTCGATCTATTTTTAAGTTTGCTTAAGTAGTTATTTTTATTTATTGACCTTTTTTTTCTACTTAAAATAAAGTCGCTACCAGACAATGCAACAAGAGTCCATGCATGAATGAGGGTAAAGACCATAGCCAAGATAATGTGGTCAACCGCGATTTGTTTCAAGATTTTGAAGAAGTTTGCAATACTAATCGCATTTTAGAACAAATGGAAGACACTTGTGGTAAGTTCAACATACACTAACATTTGCGAAGTTACTTTACAAAAAAAATGTTCAAGTTTATGTATTTAGTTGTTTAAATCAAATGTATTACTGTATCGTAGGATTGGTCGAAATTCTGCAACAACCTATACAACATATTCCAAATGGTAATTCCTTTATTATTTAGAATCTTACGTAAATTCAAAATTATTTTATGTGTACGTTATTATGTTTAGTGTAGAAACCAATCGCATTCACCTTTTTGATAATAATCAGTTCAATACGTGTATGCATAATATGAAATGTTTAAGGTCATCTTATATAATTGACCTAAATTATATATAATTATCAATGTAGTTGAATACAAAGATCTTGGTGATGCAAATAACAAGTGTCAACATTGTGGAGCGCTGTTTTGGCACGAAGAAAGGATAAACAAAACAGTTATTCATGGCACCCCAAGATATTCAATGTGTTGCAACAACGGTAAGATTAAATTGCCACCAAACCTGAGGCCACCAGATGCAATTTACAATCTATTTTTTGGAGAAGGAGAAAAAAGCAAGCAATTCCTGCAAAACATTAGAACATACAATAGTATGTTTTGCTTCACGTCCATGGGTGGTAAAATAGATAGAAGCGTGAACAAGAACGGTGGTCCACCAATTTTCAGGATAAATGGCCAAAACTTTCACTACATTGGTAGTCTCTTGCCGGTCGACGGGAAAAAACCCCATTTTGCCCAGTTGTATATATATGATACTAATAATGAACTTAGTAATCGTATCAATTCTGTAAGGTACGTACCTGTTAATTAATTATATGTATACGTACAAGCATATTATACCGCACATCCATTCATATTATATGTGCATAATTCAATTGATTTTTTTGTCTCTTTCTAGGCCAGATGGTGAGCAAAACGGAATCCATGTAGAGATTGTTAATGATATTCAAGAAGTGTTGGATACATGTAATGTCTTGGTCAAATCATTCCGCATGGCACGATCTGAGCTACAAATGAATCCACTTGCTGAGGTCAAAATAAAATTGCTTGGGAAGAGATCAAAGGATGCCAGAACATACAATTTGCCGCAAGTTTCTGAAGTGGCAGCATTAATTGTCGGTGATATTGATACAAATATTGGAGAACGGGACATTATGGTGGAGACGAAAAGTGGCCTCTTGCAAAGAATTAGTGAATTAAATCCAGCTTACTTGCCGATGCAATACCCTCTGTTGTTTTCGTATGGTGAGGACGGATACAGGGAAGACATCTCCTTCTCTACATTAAAAGGAAACACAACTGGTCGTCAAAGGATAAGTCCTCGAGAATATTTTGCATACCGTATAATGTCGAGGGTCTCTGAGGTATCTACTTTATTGCATTCAAAGAGGTTATTCCAACAATTTCTGGTAGATGCCTATACAATGGTGGAGTCAGGAAGGTTAATCTATATAAGGACACACCAAAAAAGTTTGAGGTGCGAATCGTATAATTGCTTGAATGATGCATTAACACGCGGTGAAGTTGACCCCACTACTCAAGGAAAGAGAATAATATTGCCTTCGAGTTTTACAGGGGGTGCTAGATACATGATTCAAAATTACCAGGACGCCATGGCGATATGTAGATTGGTCGGATATCCTGATCTGTTTATCACATTCACATGCAACCCCAAGTGGCCTGAGGTACAACGCTTTTTGAATGATAGAAAGTTAAAACCTGAAGATCGTCCTGACATCATATGTAGATTATTCAAAATGAAATTGGATGCTCTAATCTCAGACTGTAGGAAGAACAAGTTATTTGGACCAGTAATGGGAGGTACGTTAATTAAATGCCGCTATTTCAAGATGTGCGAGAAAATTCACTGTACCTATTATTTGCTCTATTCTAATTTATTATTTCTTCTTATTTGTTAACAGTGATATATACCATAGAGTTCCAAAAAAGAGGATTACCGCATGCTCATATTCTCCTGTTTCTGGATAAAATCAATGGAACCCATTCTGTCGAAAAATTGGACCACATTATTTCAGCTGAGTTACCTGATCAAGAAGCTGACGCAGAATACTACAAAGTTGTTGAGGAGTTTATGATGCATGGACCTTGCGGGAAAGCCAGGTTGACTTCTCCATGTATGTCGAATGGTAAATGTACTAAACATTTCCCCAAAAAGTTTGTTAATTGCACAACTTTTGATGAGGATGGTTATCCTATATATCGGAGAAGAGACAATGGTCGTTCCGTGACGCGCAATGGGATTAACTTGGATAATAGGTACGTTGTACCACACAATAGGCATTTGTTGTTAAAGTATAGGGCTCATATTAATGTTGAATGGTGCAATCAGTCCCGTTCAATCAAGTACCTGTTCAAGTACATGAACAAGGGTCACGACAGGGTTACAGCAGAGTTTTACAGGACCAGCAATGATCAAGATGGACCGCAGGTTATTGATGAAATCAGTATGTACTATGATTGTAGGTACATATCGCCGTGTGAAGCATCGTGGCGGTTGTTCGGTTTTGATATACAGTTTAGGACACCACCAGTGGAACGATTGAGCTTTCACTTGCCGAATCAACAAAGTGTTGTTTTCGCAGATGATGATCCCGTTGACAACATTCTCAGCCGGCCAACAATCTTACAAAGCATGTTCCTGGAATGGTTTGAGGCAAATAAAACCTACCCTGAAGCAAGGAATTTGACATATGCTGAAATGCCAACGAAATTTGTATGGAAGAAAGATATTAGAAAATGGCAGCCAAGGAAAAGAGGATTTTCAATCGGTAGAGTATTCTATGTGCCTCCTGGGTCAGGGGAGATATTTTATTTGAGGTGTCTTTTGAATAAAGTCAAAGGTCCCACAAGTTATTTAGACATACAAAAAGTTGATGGGGTCGAATATGAATCTTTTAGGGATGCGTGTTGTGCTAGAGGATTAGTAGATGACGACAGAGAATATGTTCATGCTATAGAAGAAGCAAGTCACTGGGCAACACCTGTGAATTTGAGAAGATTGTTTGTCACTCTCTTGATGACTAACTCGATAGCAAAACCAGAGGTGGTGTGGGAAGCTGCGTGGATTCATTTGTCCGACGATGCACAATTCAAGATTAGACAAGAATTGGGAATTCCAGGTATTGTATTTTTTCATTTTTACTGTTACGATACAATTTGACCAAAAAAATTATAATAGTTGTTAATAATGTTATCACA